TTTAAGTCTTGGGATCAAAGAATCAGGGTATTTACTCTGCCTCTGTCACTAGGGATGCACCTACAAATCAGAATCTGAATAAGCAATGCAATTTATCTCCAACTTGTTTGCCTTGTGATTATTTTTAATTCAAGTTGTCACATTTTTACAGGGAGAATTCTATGTCTGATTTTATCTTTTCCCAGGGAATTAGAGTTAGGATTACCATCACAGCCAACAAAATCATAATCACCATCTATATCGATTATCTACTGCTGCATTAACAAATTATCTCAAAATTTTGTGATTTAAACAATAAATACTAATGGTATCTTACAGTTTTGGTGAGTCAGCAATTTGGAAGCAACTTAGCTGGGTGGTTCTGGCATAGGGTCTCTTGTGAGGTTGCAATTAAGATGTAGGTTGGGAGGGCGCCTGGGTGGCTCAGTCATTGAGCGTCTGCCTTCGGCTCAGGTCATGAACCCAGGGTCCTGGGATCGAGCCCCGCATCGGGCTCCCTGCTCAGCTGGGAGCCTGCTTCTTCTCCCTCTCCCACTCCCCCTGCTTGTGTTCCCTCTCTAGCTGTGTCTCTCTCTGTCAAATAAATAAAGTCTTAAAAAAAAAAGATGTATGTTGGGGCTGTAGTTCTTTGAAGACTTGGCTAGGACTGGACTGGATTCATTTCTACTGTGGTTCACTCATCTGATTGGCATCTTGGTATTGGTAGGAGGTCTCAGTTCCCTATAATGTTGATCTCTTCATAGAGCTGCTTGAGTGTCCTCATGACATGGGGGCTGACTCCTCACAGAATGAACGATCCAAGAGAGCAAAAGGTGGAAGTTGCAATTTTTTTCATTGTCCTAATCATGGGAGTCATGCAGAACCATTTCAACAATACCCTATGGTTATCTGGGCCAGTTCTATTTAATGTGGGAGAAGTCTATTTGAGGGCTTGAAAGCCAGGGGACATGGATCATTTGGGACCATTTTGGAGGCTGTCAACCACATCATCATAATAAGTTTTCGAATGAAGGGATGACTTAAGAAATGAGAAATACACAAACATTTAAGGAAAATGTTCTCTAGACAGATCTTCTTACAGGAGAAGATGATATTTGTAGATCTTTCTTTCACTCCTGACATGCCATTCTTTAGTTTCAGTTGGAAGGAGGCAACAATAATTTCTATCTAAACTTAATGTCAATTAACACAGTAATTATAAGACAGTAGCTAGTCTCACATGGTAATTGATGATAATTGCTTCCTACTTTAATTGGTATATAAACAAGACTATGCACTAGGAATCCAAACATTCCTTCAAAAGGAAAAAGAAAATCAAAGAAGAAAATTTGTCAAAGTCATCTGTAAGCTGATAAGAAGCTAACAAATCCAGCCTACATGTCTACAGGCATTAAACAGCTGCTGCCAAGGCTTGACACTTTCTCAGAGCTGGCAAGGATAACAGAGGAAGTGAGAGCACCACGCTGGCTGGTATCAGCTCCAGGGTGCCGCTGAGATGTGTGCCGATGCCCAGCTGTCCAAGGCAGTTATGCCAATGTGCTGAAGTGCTTGAAGGTTGCCAACGCGACAGACCAAAGTAGGCTCATCAGTGAAAGATGGGATGATGTCTCTCCCCCGTTGCCACCTGTGCCTTTTGGAAAGATCGGTTCGAAGCAAAACGGGGAGGGGATAAGGGTTACGGTTGTTTTTGAGAGGAAACGCCCTGGAAATCTATACATCATAGCACCTGAAACCTCGGGGAAGCGTAAGGAAGGGAGACATGTAATTCAGGTACAAAGGTTAGCTTCCATTTGCTAGAGAGGGGAAAGGGCCAATGAATGAGGCAGGGGAAACTTCTAGAAACCCAGCTGCATCCTCATAGAACAGTAGGCGGATGGCAGATGGAAATTAATTAATATCAGTATATCCAAGTAGAAAGGAAATAAAAGAAGATATAGAAGAAAGAATGGTTGTCCAAGACTAGAGACTTTGACAAACTGAGGAGATACAACATCTTGAGGGCAGTGGGCAGAGGTAGGTATTGTCCCTATGCCCTTGGGACCATGGGCTTCGGCAACATCAATAGTGGTTTCTGCTCAGAAATCCATTGAAGATGATCCCTCAGTGGGAACAAACATGGGAACTGGAGGAAAAAAATACGCTCAGAAGTTGGTATCTCAGATCCAGGTAATTCCAACCAGGAAGCAGAGCCAGCAATCTTTGGGACGCAGAACAGAGGGCTGCTCACAAGAGACTGTGGAGGTGGTTTTACAACAGTAAGTTGGAGTGCTTATTCAGTTCTAAACTAGGGGTGCCAGACACAGCTCAGAGGGGGGGACAGAGCTTAAGTTTTCTGAAGATGTAAGATGGGAAGGAAAGGCACCTCCAGTAAGATCTGCAGACTAGGGATGCCACCATTGTAAATTTGAAACTTTGCTAAATAAGCAACCAATCTCTCCAGTGCTACTCTCTGGAAGGCGAAAAAGTGAGCATAGGTGGATCCCTCCCTGAAATGGCAAATGGTGCCCTAACGTGGTTCATTATGGAACCAGGGAGATCACTCCCAGTTGTGTTTTGTGTCATAGGTCAGGATCCCTGGACAGCCTATCATAAGCCTGAGCAACAACCTGGCCAGGATTAATCGAAAAAGGATCCCCTTTTCTCCTCATTTTATCTCTTTCCTCTTCGGTGGCTATGATTCTTAGGTTCTGGAAACATCATTTTGCTTGGCAAAACTGCCCTAAAACTGGGGATACACTTATTTTCTAAATTTCATGAGTGTGGGGCCCAGACTGTGACAACCCTATGCATTCTGTTAACAGTTTGGACTCTTGATTAATAAATCTCAGTGAGATTTTTTTTGCTATGGTCTTGAACGAGCAGATCCATTAATGAACAGCCCAGGCTGAACTCCCAAAGGAGACTCAACGCTACCTCCACTTCTGAATGAATATCTAGTTTGAGATTGAGCATAATATAGCAGAAGTGAGGGTGCTAAACTTTAGATTCTTTTCACTTTCTCTTGATCAAGTTAATGTTAGTTGCTATAACAAGCAAACCCTAGACTTTTGACATGAAATACTATTTGTGGTGGTGATGTAGGGGCTGCTCCATACAGGCATGGGGGAGCCCAGGTTGAAAGAGACTTGGGTAACTTGGGTCAGTCCCCAGCAGGTAGAGGGCAGAAGTGAGAGAAGCAATGGAAGATCATGCCCCCAGGCTTTTGTGAGCCTGGCCTGGAAGCGGGGGCACATATCACTTCTGTCCCTATTTCATTGGCCAGAACTCAATTATTTGGCCACATTTAGATGAAGGGGAGCCTGGGCAGTGTCATTGGCAACCACTTCCAAATAATAACTATATATTATGAAAGGGGAGTTTGAATCTCTAATGGACAGCTTTGCCATAGTCTAGAGACTGTTAGCTAACAAAGGCAAGATAATTTGATTTGGGCTTTTAATTCCTTTAGACATTAATTCTTCAGATTTATATCGCAAAGGATTTTATCTTCGGAGTTTAATCTTTTTTTGCAAATATGATAATGGAAGTGGTTTTATTCAACTTTAGGACATTTCTAGGTGATTGGTTTTAAGTTATCAGAGCATCTTCCCAATACTCTTAAATCATATCACAGAACCTCCAGTAAGCTCTACTAGACAATTTGCCTGAATGCAATTAAAGGCAAGACAGAGAACTAGGGATATATTTTTAGTTTACATGCAAAGTTTTTCATGTTCTGTAATGAATGGATTGCTCTTGCTATTTCAGAACCTTTTGGGGGCAAAATCAAAACTACCCATCTGTAGTTCCAGAGGGCCACTCAGTGGAACAATGGCTGATGTTGGAGGTGAGGTCTTCCCTTGAAGGGCATAGCTTCACTCCTGGTAGCGGTAAGATTGAAAATCAAACCTGACTGGATTAAGAGAGCCCAGCGTAGGGCATGTTAGGGATCATTTGTTTCTCCCTCCTTCCTTTTGCTTTTAGGAGTCTTTGGTGGAATGAGCACTGGGTGTTATATGCAACTGATGAATCAATAAATTCTACCTCTGAAACTAAAAATACACTATATGTTAATTAAGAAAAAAAAAAGAAGTCTTCCCTAAGGCAGTTCTGCTGGTCCCAGTGGCCCTTACTCACCGAACACTGGGGTTGAGGGACCCTGGTCTTATCTCTCCTTTCCATGGGGTACACCTGTAAAGAGAAAGCATCCCAATGGGCATGCTTTAATAAAGTGCATTTTGCAGTAAGGGCCTCTTTGGGGGGAGGGAAGCTTCAGTTCAGAGGAGTATCATTAGGCATTAGGCTTGTTTGGTCGTACAGTTTAGTCATGTCCTCCTGCCTAATTTTCTCTGGTAATAAAGCTGACATTGTGATTTCCATCTGCCCGACTCCATATGACCGTATGTCAGTTGGTTTGAACTTGAGGGATGTTATTTTTTGACCCCATCAAATCCACAACTATAGACTGGATTGGAATCCTGGCTCTCCTGTTTACAATCTATGTAGCGCTGAGAAATTTGTATGGTCTCTCTGAGCTTTGGTTTCCTGCCTAGTAAGTAGGGGCATTAATTATCTCTTTACAGTAGTGGTGTGAGAAGGAGATATGATGTGGGTATAAGATGCTCTGTACAGCACCTGGCACACAGTAAGGACTCAACAAATTATATCTTTTATTATTATGACATACTTTTTCCAGGGCGGTCTTATATCATATGTGTGTTGCATATATAGTGCTGGGAAATGAGCTTTTACCTTTCCTTTTGGTTATTCATGGGGACATAATAATCAGTACCTGTGTTATCTTCAAGTACCAGAAATTAAAAATTTCTGTGACAGCAGGTTCCGAAAGATGGCAGCACTGGGAAAAGGTTTCCCCATATTTTAAGATGCACTTAAGCTGGGCAGCTTTCCAACCGCACCCCACCCTGCCCAGTAAAAATAAGCACACTCATCCAAATGGTCCCCTCACGCCTACTCTTTCAGGGTTTGCCCTGTCATCCTTCTGTCCTTTTCATTTACAGGTTTGTCTGCTTTTGTCAACTCTGATCTTAATGGGGACCGAATCTGTCTTGAAGTCTTTGAGCCATGGGCACTAGCCTACAACCGTTGGGACACGGTAGGCTCTCAGCAAGTGTCAGTTACACTGAGACATCTTTCATCCTCTCGTAACACCTGCGTACATCAGGAGTCCTCAGACTGCTTCTCTGCAGCACGTACCCGAGGAATAAGATAAGGCTCCATCAGCACCTGGTGATTTTATTTTACTTATTTTTATTTTTTTCATTTTTTAAAGATTTTATTTATTCATTTGACAGAGAGAGACACAGCGAGAGAGGGAACACAAGCAGGGGGAGTGGGAGAGGGAGAAGCAGGCTTCCCTCCGAGCAGGGAGCCCGATGGCGGGGCTTGATCCCAGGACCCTGAGACCATGAAGGCAGACACTTAAAGACTGAGCCACCCAGGGGCCCCAGCACCTGGTGATTTTAATGTGAATGGAAAACTTCCTGAGGAAAGGTATTTTAGTAAAAGCTGTGGCTGGGCACAGTGGGAGGAAGAGAGGGAGGTAGTTTGAGTAAAAGCTCCATGGATGATCCAGTTCTGCTCTCCTAGGCCCAACTGAGAATTGCAGTGTTTCATTTGTTCAACCCTGAGTCCCTAGAGCCTAGCACAGGTCTGCAATATCTATTTATTGAATGAATAAGTGTTTTCCAAATGCTGAAGAGAAATGGGAGATGTGGATAGGGTCCGGGTGGTAGAGAAAAGATGAAGAAAAATCATGTATTGATTGTTGACACGGGAGCGCTATTAGATAAGCCATCTTCAAGCATTTCATCTTACACTATGAAGTAGTAGATTAGCTGTCAATTTTTTTTGTAGACCCTCTTTATCAAGTTGAGGAACTTCTTTTCTATACTTACTTTGCAAGAGTTTTTGTTTCATATCGCAAACGGGTGTTGAATTATGTAAGAGCCCGTGGATTCAACGTACTAACATTTTGTTAAGGATTTATATATCTATAAACCTAAGGGATATTGGTCTGTGATCTTTTCTTCTAATGATATCTTTGTCTGGTTTGGATGTGAAGGTTATACTGGTTTCCTAAAACAAGTTGGCACATGTTCCCTTCTTTTCTGTTTTTTCTGGGAGGGATTGTGTAGAATTGGGGTTAATTCTTCTTGAAACGTTTGGCAAATTTCTTTTAGTAAAACCATCTAGGCCTGGACATTTCTTCTCAGTACTTTGAATTCAACTTCCTTAATAGTTATAGGGCTATGCAACTGATGAATCACTAAATTCTACCTCTGAAACTAATAAAAAAATAGTTACAAGCCTATTCAAATTATCTATTTCATGTTGGGTGAGATGGGTTAGTTTGTACTTTTTGAGTCACATTTCATCTATGTTGTCAAATTGGTTTGTGCAGAGTTCATAGTATTTTCTTACTAACCTTTTGTTGTCTGCAGGGTCTATAGCAATATCCTTCTTTTATTCCCGATATTAATATATTGTGTCTTCTCTCTCTTTTTTCTTGTTTCTCCCGCGTGTTTATTTATTATATTGAAGTGTAATTAACATATGGTGTTCTGTGAGTTTCAGGTGTATGGTGTAATGATTCAACACTTCCATACGTCACCCAGTGCTCATCACGACAAATGCACTCCTTAATCCCCTTCACCTCTTTCTCCCACCCCCACCCCCTCCCCTCTGCAACCACCTGGTTGTTCTCTGTAGTTGAGAGTCTTTTTTTTTCTTTGTCACTCATGCTAGAGGTTTGTCAATCTACTGACCTTTTAAAGGAAACCAGCTTTCCATGTCATTGATTGGCTCATTGCTTTTTTGTTTTAAATTTTATAAATCCTGACCCTTATCTTTGTTATTTCCCTCCTTTTGCCTACTTTGAATTTACTTTTTTTTAAGTTTCTTGCAGTGAGACCTTAGATTATTGATTTGAGATTTCTCCTCTTTACTAATGTAAAAGCATTCCGTGCTATAAATTTTCCTCTCAGTACTGCTCTGAGACCCATATATTTTTATATGTAGTATTTTCACTTTTATTCTGTTCAAGGTATTTTATTCTCGTGAGACTTCTTTCATCCACAGATTATTTAGAAGTGGGTTGCTTGGTTTTCAGTGTTTGAAAATTCAGCGTTTAAAATTTTCATGTGACTTTACTTTTATTGATTTCTAGCTTGATTCTATTTCCGTCAGAAAACATAATTTGCATGACTTAAATTAGTTAAATTTGTTGAATTTTGTTTTATAGCCCACAGTATGCTCTACCTTCATATATATTCTGTGGGCACATAAGAAAAATGTGATTCTGCTGGTGTTAGCTGGAATTTTGTATGCATGCCGATTGTATCCTGTTGGTTGATGGTATTGTCGACTTCTATATCTTTGCTAATCTTTGTCTAATTGTTCCATCAGTTGTTGAGAGAGGGGTGTTAAAATCTCCAATGATCATTTTGGATTTGTCTGTTGCACCTTTCAGTTCCATCAACTTTGGCTTCATATATTTTTCAACTTTATTGTTTGGTGCACATACATTTAGGATTGCTATGTCTTCTTGGTGGACTTACCCTTTTGTCATTGTATAAAGTCCCTCTCTGTCTCTGTTAACTTCCTTGACTTTATGTAATATTAATATAGCAACTTCTGCTCTTTTGTTGTTGTTAATGTTTCCAGGGTATATCTTTTTCCATTCTTTTGGTTTCAACCTGTGTAAATCATTATATTTAAAGTGATTTTGCATAGGCATCATATAGTTGAGTCATGTTTCTTTTTTAATCCACTCTCCTAATCTCTTTATTTTAATTGGCACATTTAGACATTTTACATTTAATGTAATTATTATTATGTTAAGTTTCAAGTTTGCCATTTTACTTTTTGTTTTCTCTTTGTTCTTTTTTTTTTTTTTTTGCTTCTTTTCTTTTTCTTGACCCTCTGCGGGTTTCTTGAACATTCTTTAGGATTCTCGTTTTGATTTAGCTGTAATACTTTTGAGTCTGTATCTTTGTGTAGTTATTTCAATGTTTGCCTAGGTATTACACTGTATATACATGATTTATCATAATCTGAAGGTGTCAACAGTTCACCAGTTTGGGTGAAATGTAGAAATCTTACCTGCCTTTATGTCCCTCTATCCTCCCTCCTTTATAATATAATCATCTTAGGTATTTCCTCTGTATACATCGAGAACTACATCAAGCCGTGTTACAGTGTTTGCTCGAAACATCAAACATAATTTAGAAAACTCAAGAGGAGAAAGTCTGTTGTATTCGCTGACGCTTTTGCTCTTTCTGTGTTTCTGTCTTCTTCCAGGTGTTCTAAGAGTCCTTCTTTTACTATTTCCTTTCTGGAGAAAGGAATTTAGCCTTTCTAGAGAATTTCCTTGAGTCATTTACTTTTCAGTTCTAGAATTTGTTTGGTTCCTTTGTATATCTTCTCTTTCTTGGCTGAAGTGTTCCATTTTTACATTTGTTTCAAGTGTGTTCACAGCTGCTCATTAAAGCATTTTTATAATGATTGCTGTAACATTCTTGTCAGATCATTCAAACATCATCTTCACCTCAGGGTTGGTATCTATTGATTGTATTGTTTTGCACTCAGTCTGAGATCTTCCTGGTTCTGGAAATGAAGTACCATTTTCAGGTGAAACCAGGATATTTTGGATAGTATGCCAGAAGAGTCTTCTAAGGATGTTATTTATTTCTTCTAGGTTAGCAAGTACCCTCTGAAACTAGTGTGATGGGTGAAGTGAGGTAGTACCTCATTACTGCCAGAGCGGGTGGAACTGTGGCTTCTCCTTTCAGCCCCCATTGGCATCTGTGGGTGAAGGAGGTGCTCCTTACTACTGCTGGGGGTGTGGGAATTCTGGCTCCCACTGGGCCTCTGCTGATACTACTTCATCTGAGAGCGGGAAGGACACCTCACTGCTGTTCCTTCATGGCCTTCCCTGACCCTCTGTGGGTGGAGTATGCCTCAGTAAATCCTGACCCTTTACTGGGTCTTCTCTGACGCCAACCCAGAGCAGAGGGAGAGGAACTTCTCATTAGTGCTGAGTGGAGTGGAAGTCCAGCCTCCCCAAATGGTCCCCATTGACACCTCAGAGGAGGGGAGGGGGCTTAGAGAGAGGGGCTCACTGCTGAGTCCTGAGGCAAGTCTTGGCTCTCCCCTCAGCTGTCTGACGCTACCCCAGCAGGGGAGCTGCATGCCTGGTTCTAACCCTGCAAGAGTGGAGTCTGTGCTCTCTCTGTGGCCTTTGCTGGTGGGGTTGAGAGTAGGTTCAACAGGTTTTTTTCTGTGGTGTTTGACGAGAGTAGAGAAATCATTGTCTGCAAGTGTGTTATCTTGTTAGGCGACCCCTTTTCAGATCCTTTGGCTAAAAAGAGCAGGTTTTTCATGGGCCTGCTTTTTTTTTTCTTCCTTTTTTTGCCTGTGCCCATTGGCATTCTGGGTTACCAGCTTCTCCAGTATCCAGCCCAGGCTATGTGAGGCAAACAAACAGGCAAACCAAAAAACCAGGGACTGTATCACTGTCTTGTTCCTCGGTCATGAGGTTCCTGGCTTGTTCATTTGTCCGTCGTCTTCTTTCTACCATTCGGTCTCCTTTTGTTTGTTTTATGTACAGCATCCGGGGTTCTTAATTATACTTAGCGGGTGGGATGGGATCAAGTACCTCTCTCCCACTTCCCCAGAGGCAGAAGTTCGGGCCTTTCCTCATCATTAAAAGTGGGCTCCAGATTAAAACTCAACCTGAAATCCATTTTTAGCCTTTGTATCAAGTGACCTGACACGGGGAGGGAGATGAGATCATGTGATCTGCCCTTTCATTTCTCCTTGTCCTTTGGTGCCATTGTGTGTGTGTGTGTGTGTGTGTGTGTGTGTGTGTGACTGGAGATCGTAATCTTCCCTGTCCTAAAATGAGAAGAAATTTCCTCTCTCCTCTTTGTCTAGGTCCAGCCTCTCTGGGGCTCGGGGAGGTGGGGATTCTATTTTGCAACTGACGATATGTTAGTGGTGAAGAGACATTCCTGGTCTGTCTCTTGGCCTGCTCTCAGTAATTTCCGCAAAGCTGGTGGCCTCTGAGGGAGAGTGTGTATGCTTTCCTAGGGGATATGCTTTACCCTGGCCATCTCAGAGGGCACGGGATCCCCTCTGACCAAAAATATTGCCTTCTCACTTATAAGGTTGCCAGATTTGGCAAACAGAAATACATGACACCCAGGTAAGTTGGAATTTCAGATAAA